GCACCAAATCCTTTTAAATTCCAGGTCCTTTTAATAAGATGATACTACACAGCAGTCCCTTCTGATGAAATAACTACCATCATCATGACTTCAGCTGAGACTGATCACTAAACATCATCACAATTGGGTTTGTTGACAGTTGTGCTCATTCATCAAAGGAGAACCAAGCAGGGTCACTGGATCCTCATCGGAGTATCCAGCCACTCTTCCCAGTCAACTGTATGTAATTTGACCCTAATCACACATGGCCTCCTGGATTTAGGGAGGGCTAAAGGATACAATCTGGGAAAGGCTAGGAAGAGAAGGCATGACCCATGCTGGGTAAAGGCTTTCCAGGGTGCATACCCTCAGGTCATAATACACTTCAGCAACCCCTCAGTTACTTTGGTAAGTAAGCTCAGTAAATCCATTGGTTCCCCAGCAAAACTTTGATCAAACATTGGTTTGACACTAGAACCTTAAAAGGGAATAAGCAATGCTTAGTATCCCCAGGAAAAGAATTCTCATAACAGATGGAAAATTTATTTGTTAATGCTATTACATCTTATAATTATTAAAAAAACAAAGAAAATGAGAATGTAAAAGATGTTAAAATGGAGATATTTTCCAAAATAGAAAAAAAAATGAAAGCCTAAGGAAGTGATAAAGGTCTGTGAAGGTTTGTTATGATATATAAAAAATAATATACACAAAATCTTAAAACTTCTAAGGTCATAAGTTAGTCAGCTAGTTTAAGGAACAAAATATATATTTAGTCAAGTTTTATCTGAGAATATTTAGTTTTTTACCCAAGCCTTATGGACATATCACATGACAATGAAAAGTCCCAGGAAATAGCACATGATAATTCAAAGTACCAGACTGGTGGACCTAACCTTATTGGATATTTAACAGCCATAGTTTGAAAAGGCCTGTACTAATCTGGTCAGAGGGACATAAAGGACAGTTTTTGCCCCTTGCCCTCCAAGGTCAACTAAGTTCCAGGGGACTATGGAACATCTCT